AAAGGTTTAGCAGCTAAAGAGGAGAATTAGCAAACAGATCTTTGCATTTAACGGTTAACCCTTAACACCCTAATATCATAAATGATATTCTCCATACTGTTCTCTAAACATGGCCTAAGGTGCTGACAAGGAGAATTTGTCTAACAATCAAGAGCTTCTTTAGTTGGTGATCATTTTATTTATTCTCATGACCTTACTGTGTGATTCAGAGGTGATATAAAAGGAGAAATTAGATGCTAATCACTTTGGTGTCAAAGGATAAAATAGTGAATACAAGGGTATAACTCAATCTTCTATGCTCCATGCTGCAGTTGCTTTGGTCACCATGCCAAAAAGAAAAAAGGTTTTTCAACTAAATATGCAATGAAAGTTTCCAATAATAAAAAAAAAAGATTAACCAAGATTGGCAGTCATGTGTAGAAAGCTTTATGAGAGAATTTAAACTTTCATTTGGTAGCTGTGTTGATAGTTGCCAATTTACCAAAAGTTTCTTTAAGATGTTACTGGCAATTTCCGAGTTTTTCTTCTGTTCAACAACCAAGAGCAATATATCATTCAGTGTTTATTTTACTTAACTAACTAGAAGCATTTTTGTCTCAACACTTTTTCTGTACAATATTGTTTGGATTTTTTAGCACAAAAAAGCAGATGCAGCACAGATATTTCATGATACTGCAGGATGGAAACATTTAGAGACAAGTATGAGGTTTGTAACATGCTATCAAAATTCATTTTCATCAGTGAGAATGTTAGTTACTTTTAATGCCTTATACAGCAACAAAAGAAAGCTTAAGGTGGCTGATCAGATATACTTTATGTTTTAGGTCTCTTCAATCAGTGATAGAAGGATGTGGAAGAGCCTTCAATGAACATATTACTCAAGACCTCCTTGATCTGATATTTCAGGCATTAAACCATACAAACAGATTCGTTAGGGAGACGGGTTATCAACTCTGTGCATCACTTGTTAGCCTGGGAAGAAAACAAGGTAGGAATTCTTTGGATCACCATTAAACTTTTTTTTCTACTCTTTNNGTGCAATTTGGAATAAATAAGCACTTGTAAATTTTTTCAAAGACCACAAATTGCACTTGCCCTACAGGCTCATGCAGTTTTGTTAGTCTTTGAAAAAATTTACTTGTGCTTATTTATTCCAAATTGCACTCGAAATCATGTGATTACCTATACTAACTCTTGAGTGATTCATCAAAACATGCATTCTTGTAGCAGATGAATCGTCAGAGGTTACAGAATCTATTGTGGTAGATGTTGAGGAGAATGCAATACTTAAACATGGAGATCAGTTTTCTGATTATCTGAAGAAAGGGTTGTCTGATAACTGGAGCCAAGTATGTTGGTAGATAGGTTACTTCTGCAGCCACATAGGGATTACTTGATATCCATTTTTTTTTATGGTAGTGATCCAGTTAGGCTGTGTTGTGGTTCAAATTTTTCCTTTGGTTGAAAATTTTTGAACACAAGCTCGTTAAGACAAGTGTTTTTTTTAATCCTCTGTCCCACTTTATCATTAGCTAGAAAAATTTTGTTAGGAAATCTTGGTAATGTTTTTTTGTTTATCACCGTGATGCAAAGGCAAAAAAGCATTAAGAACCAGAATTCACAGGACAAAACCTCCAAACTGAAAGCTCTTCAGTTCCAAAGATGGGATGGTGTTATGTATTTATTAAAATTGCCTAGTAATTAGTCCTTTTTATTTTCCATACAATTCTTATGATGTTTGTTTAGTGAGTCTGGTATTGGATTAATAGTTGATAATCATTAATAATCACTTGTCTGCTTGATATTGAATTGATATGGTTGGGAGAATTTCTCTCTGTATCACTCACAGGGCTTGACACTAACTTTTCAACTTACTAGCCAAGCGGCAAGTAACAACTTTGATGTTACAACAATTTTAGTTTGTTTACTGGCCAAACTGGTGAGTGGAAATCTAAAACCACCAGCCAAAATTGAATTTCTACTAGTCTATGGCTAGTTGGCTACTGTTAATGTTGAGTCCTGACTCACAGAAGTTAAAGGGTTAATAGATGGATGAACTTGAATAACCACTGACTTTGTTTTGACCTTGACTTTACTTTGTTGTACAATTTTCCTAGACTTATGTGTTTAAATACCACCTGCTTATACTTTATAGCTCATAACATTTGTTTTTGTTTGAAATGTAGGTTAGGTTAGCGGCCTCAGTAGCCACACGTCAGTTCTTTCAGACTCTACCCAGTAAAGAATCAAGAGAGAAGTTTTTCCCCAAGGTTTTACCAGCCATGTGTCTGAACAGGTTAGACCAGATGCTATAATTTCTACCATAATTCCTGACTTGATTCAATTGATTCTTATAGCAAAAAATTTTGTCTCCCTAAGAAAAAGCAAAGCTGATGAAATCTCATGCAGTTGGAAATGAAAAGTGAACTTTTTACCTTGAACACTTTAATTTATAGTAAGTGTTTCAAAATCCCAATGCCAAGAAATTTTTGAAGTTTAAAAACTTCAACATTTATTGACATTGGGATTTTAACTAGTTATTCCCATCTGTGTAGCTAAATTGAAATTATTTGAATACATTTCTTTCAAAAGGTATTATGTAGCAGAAGGTGTAAGAATATACTCTCAGCAAAGCTGGAAAATCATAGTTGGAACAGAAGGGAAACATATGGTGGAAAAATACATCACAGAGACAGTGAGCGAAAAATATTTTTTATTACTTTAAATTAAGAAATACAGTGGAACCTTGATGTAATGAACCTCTATTTAACAAAGTCCTTGGTATAATGAAGTGATACTTTTCAGCCCGGCTAAAGTAATAATAAAATGTAATGACAAAGTCCTCATTACAATGTTTACAATCCAGAAGCCCATATGTATATGTTGTAGGTCAATTTGTTCTTTAGGTAAATTTGTTTCCAACTAGGTTAATTTGATCTCAACCAAGGTCAGTTGCTGATGTCCCTCTGTCTGTCTGTTTTTTTTTTGGCTGTGTTGAGATGTTTGGAACCTGAGGCGAATAATTGTTTTAGTATAATTTCAGGTTCCATTTCAACACAGCCCAAAAAAAAACCAGACAGACAGACATCAGCAACTGACCTAGGTTGAGATCAAATTAACCTAGTTTGAAACAAATTTACCTAAAGAACAAATTGACCTACAACATATACAGATTCCCCAATGTAATGAACAAATGTCAACACATGACAAAAGACAAAGTGTGAAACAAACCAACAACAATCAAAATCCTCATTGGAAGAATTTTTTCAATTAACATCATGATTAACGACATAAATACGGTGCAGTACAGTACTATACAGTGGCATTCTGTTGTTTAGCACTGTACACACTGTTCCTATTCATTGTGACATTTGACACGGATAAAAAACATTTCAAATCTGGGAGTGAAAGTTTAAATAGACTCTAATGTAATGCTTAAAGTTTATTATCATCACTCAGGTTGAATTTTACATCAGCCAAACCAAAGCAGACAATCATGCTGTCAGAGAGGCTGCTTGTGCCTGCATAGCTGAACTTGGAACCAAGGTTGGTTTATAAACCTTTCAAATAGGAACTTGTAACAATTTAATTCTGTATTTTTTTCTGGTTGTTCGCTTGACTTTCAGTTATTCTCTTTCAGGTGATAGCAGACTGAAAGATAGTTTTCTAAAAGATAGTTTCTTATACCCATTTAATTTCTCTTAGGTTAGCCAAGACAGTTTAAGATCACATGTTTCAGATCTTCTTCAGGCTTTGGTGTGTTGTTTCAAAGATGACAGTTGGCCTGTTAGGGATGGTATGTTTTGTGCTTTGTTATATTGAGGCAGGGAAGGGTGGGGGAATGGGATTGATGTGAGAGAAACTCTTAACCGCCTCCCGGTTAGCTCAATGGATAGAGCACTGGACTGTTGTGCAGGAGGTCGAGGGTTCAAGCCCTGGCTGGACCAACACTCAAGTTTTTAAAATAATTGAGAAGAATATGCTACCTTTCTATAACACCAAGAAATGGTTAGATATTCTAGATAGTCTTCTTGGATAGGGACGAATAAATGGAGGTCCCGTCTCCTACAGGGTTAGGGGTAGGAGACATTAATTTCCCACGCACGAGATTACTGTGTGATGGATGTCCTCCCCTGGGGTGGGATAGGTGGGATTTATTGGGTGGACTACCCGCATGGTTCGCATATGTTTCGTTCTAGTCCTACCCTACTGCGGTAATGCAGTGAAAAATGGTTAGAAAAAAGTAATTTTTTTGACCATGAGTGATCTTTGAATTTTGGAAATCCATATGACAAGACATGTCTAATTTATCTTACTTGTTTCTATGCAATAGTGTACATGCTGTTGTTGCCAGGAATTTTAATTGCCCATTTTTTAATTTAAAATTCAAATAAAAATCAATTTAAACAAACCAAGCATTAAGCATGATATGTCTCAAATTTACTATTTCACACACAGTAATTGATCATAATTTAAACAACAGTTCAAAATGACATTCTTTCTTCTTCAGCTGCCTGTGTGGCTTGTGGAAATTTTGTGCTGTGTTTCCCTCAGGAGTGCAGGTAGGTGAAATGATTATTAGAGCCTTCACACATGCAAGTGAAGTCTCATTGGCATCCATTGTTTGGTCTTGTCATGAACGGGAGAAAGAGTGTGTTGCATGACAAGACCAAACAACTGCGGCAAAGGAGACTACAGTGAGTGTGGCACCAATGCAATTTATTTCTGCTCCAGATTGTTCAGACAACAAGGACAACAGACCATATAATACCTGTGTCTGAGTTGTTTTTCATATAAATCAAAACATCTTTTTACTTTACATTGGACAGTATTTTTATTGGAAACTCTGAATGTTAATGCCCTTTTTCTTCTACAAAATTTAAACAAATCAGTTACCCAAAGTGTCCCATCTCAACCCACCCATCTGAAAAAGTTATTAACTCCTGCATGCATTGCATACCCATGTTTTATTGTGAAATTCTGTTTCTGGCCACAAAAGACTGCTGCTCTGCCAGCTGTTAAGCTGTTAATGTTAACTCTCTCTTTGTTATCTGCTGAAATTTCACTGTAAATTATTTGAAAGAATTTGGTTTTATTTTAGAACAAGATTACACCCTCCAGCTGATAAGTAAAGTTTGTTTATTCTTGTGTCTTATGAACTGGATAATGATTTGAAAGTGCAAAAGGTCACAAGTGAATAACTTGTAAGGTTACAATGTTTGAACTTATTGAAAAAATGCTCAGAACCAAAATAAGTAAGCATGTGGTGGAACACATGCATCTGCTGGTAATAACACATGAATCTGCTGGTAATAACACAGGGGGCCCATACAATCTGTTTGTGTAGCTGACTGTTGTTTTATAGTGAATGTACCAGATTTACTGTTTTCCTCGCCTATATTGATATAGAGCTGACTATGTACATAAATCATTGATAATTGAACGTTGAATTACTTTACCTGTGGTTTATAGTCGTCCTTTTGCCTCAAAAATGTTTTTGTTTTTTGAGAAATTTTGATTAAGTCTGAGTTCGTTGTTAATGTAATGCATAAAAGAAAGACAAGGGTGGAAGCCTTGTTTTAAAAGGGTTCAAGTGCTCGAGCGATTTTCCCCCTGAAAATCACATCGTTCTGCTTTCAAACTTCGCAGCATTAAGGTCAAAAGATGCACAATTCTCCTTGTACCTTCTTTTCGAAAATCCATCCAAACGGACTGGAGCTAGCCCTCGAAGAAAATCAAAATCCCACAGTATTTAAGCACCTGGGGTGCGTAGCAAGATTCTCATGTGCCAGCCAGAAACCGTCATGTCTGATTGCCCTTTTCTGATTGGACGACATTATTTTGAATTGGACAATGTTATTTTGAATTGGACAACGTTATTTTAAATTGGTCAATCAGGTGTGATGGTTTCTGGCTGGCACATGAGAATCTTGCTACGCATCCCAGGTGCTCAAATACTGTGGGATTTTGATTTTCTTTGAGGGCTAGCTCTGGTCCATTTGGATGGATTTTTGATTAGAAGGTACGAGGAGAATCATGCATCTTTTGACCTTAATGCTGCAAGTTTGAAAGCAGAGCAATGCAATTTTCAGGGGGAAAATCACTTGAGCACTTGAACCCTTTAAAAGCAAGGCTTCCACCCTTGTCTTTTGTAAACTCCACTTTTAATTTTTTTTTTTTTCTTCAGAGTTCCACAGCGTCGTAAATCAGCCTCTCTACCTATGTCGCTCCACGTCGCTTCAAAATTCTCTGAATCTTTTGCAAAAACCCTTCGCGAACTTTACGAACTAACTTAGATACCAACTTTTCGAAAACTAGAGTTCCAAAGTACTTATTCATAAAAAAAGAAACGAAAAAGGTCACGTGGACGTGAACTTGCTGGAACTCGCATTGCTGGAATTCACGTGCTATGTTCTTAAAATACTTTAGTGGGCAAACACAAATAAGACACGACATCTTTCTTTTATGCATTACATTAACGAAGAACTCAGACTTATTCAAAATCGCTAAAAAAGAACATTTTTGAGGCAAAAGGATGACTATACACCACAGGTAAAGTAATTCAATGTTTATTTATCAGTGATTTACGTACATAGTCAGCAATATATTACTATAGGTGAGGCAAACGGTAAATCTGGTATATTCACTATAAAACAACAGTCAGCTACACAAACAGATTGTATGGGCCCCCTGTGGTAATAACATAATTTAGGAATTAGAATTCCTTACCTGAAACATAACTTTTTCTTTTCTTTTTTTTAGTTCTAGCATGGATGACCTTTACCCTTTATTTTTTGAGAATCTCTCAGACAGCATCCCTTCAGTCAGACAAGGTGCAGCAGTGTCGCTTAGCAATGTTGTTAAAGCTTATGGTATGTACCCCTACTTGTCACTAGTTGTTAGAAGAGGTTTTCACTGGGTTATCAAAAGTAGTTTTTGCAGAGTAATGGTTTGGGGTGATAATCTTTCGTGTGGACTGTTTTGAAATGAGAGGGGATTAACAGTTTTGCAATGCTTCTCATCATCATTAATTCAAACTGTGACTGTTTATTTGCCGTGGTGGCAATATAAATCTGGTAACAAAATTTAAAGGAAATGTTGCTAAGAACCTATGTTGAGTAGTGTTGTGGCAAATAATCCATTTTACAGTTGTGTGCTTGGTTGCCAAGCCTTTGAATGGGAGTGAGGCTAGAGATGACCTTGTTATGATACAAACCTTGCTGCCTTTCAAATGTAAATCACTTTGTTATCATGCTAGGTAGATACAGGTCTCTATCACAACAAGGTCATCTTTAGGCTCACTCTGAAGCAAAGGCTTGGCAACTAAGTACACAACTGTAAAATGGCCTATTGTGAGGTATTTATCGTTTGATGTTTATGGTCTAAAACAAAGTGACATAAACAATGTGCTTATGTTATTTAAAGGTTTGAAAATGAACAGAATTATATGGAGAACACAGTAGTAATTTTCAGGCTATCAATGCAAAATAATTTGCTTTATTTGCAGGGGAAACTGCACTAAACATAGTTACTAAGAGAGTAACAGAAGGTCTTCAAGGAATTGAGAAACAGGAAGCTACCACAGAAAAGTAAAAATTTGTTTCCATATCTTATATTTAAGCAATTTTTGTGCAAATTTATGTGCAATTGAAAGTAAAATGTTTACTTTGTGAGTTTAGTTGCCCAGATGTTGTTGTATAATTTTTTGTTATAGCTGTATGCTTGTCTTTTTCTATGGATATATATATATTTTTTAACAATTTTCTTCCTTAGAAAAGTCTCTAATTGTTCCTGTTGTTACTCAGAAATTGTTCTAAACCTAGAAGGAACCACTGGCAAAATTAAGAATAGGAGATGTTTAGTTTACCAGCCAGCTGTCACCAACTAGGAAGACAATATCAATGTTTAACTCTTTGTTTAAGGTATACGGGAGTCGAGAAAGGCCCAGCCACATTTGGAGTTATAAAAAGACTGAGAGATAATGATATGGAGCTACATACAAACAGACAGGTAGTTGAACAAATTTATTGTTTGTGTTAACCTATTGATGTCCAGTGCACCCGTAAGCGCCCATGTGGACCCACACCCTTTCTACGCCTTGTGATGTCATCACTTTTAACCCCGCAGCATGACTTTGAGCACGTACTTGAACAGATTGAAAATATCTTACAAACGATACCAGAATGAGCGGAATTGAGTGAAGGAGATTGGAGAAATAGCCAAAAAACCATGTAACTTTGACCTGAAAATCTGCACGAAAATCTTGTTCCATTACCCACCTACCTTTCTGAGCATGTGGTTTGAAAATAATGAGTAGTTTCCTAAAAAATCTCTACACCAAAATGAAGCCTACTAAATTTCCAGCAAGTGAGGAGAAACTTCAGGCAAGGAGAGGGGAAAAAAAGGGCAGGAGAAAGAGAGAAAAGTAAAAGTCGTAAGTGGGGCATTACTTTTCAACCCAAAAACTATCTCGAAATTTTGCTTTCTGCGCGTGCCCGAGATTTTCAGGC